ACTTTTATTGCAATTTGAGGCGAGATGTAGATGGTTCTATGTTGATATATGTGTGTTTTTAGAGTCAAATGTTCCTGTAAAGTTTGTTTGAAGCACTGGTTCAGTGTTCCTGTTTACACACTATGCAGCAGGGTTGCCAGGTTTGGTGGTTCCCGCATATTTTTTTCCAAGAGACTCGTAGGTATTAAATAAACAGAAAGACAATAAACACAATCATGATCATTGAGTCAGGTCAATCAAGTCATTGAGTGTTTTTTTTTGTTTGGGTATTCTCACGGATTTTGGGTTGGAAAATTTTGCTGGGATTTGGCAACCTATGGGAGCCGTGTGCTTCGATGTGAGTGGTTGAAAGCAGACTTCATTCAAGATAACGGACAAGTGGTCTATCCAATCACATACAAGGATTTTTTTACAAGGCCCTGCCTTCTGAAATCCAACCACTATGGCTCAGTACCAGACTCATGTGTGAAGTGCAGCGAACTACTTGACAAAAGCTGATCCAAATATGCAAGGGCAAAACACGTGCATGTAAAAACTAGTGATCGAACTACTTTTATTATTAATATTTTGGTCTTAAAGCACTTTGATATTCTTAGCTGTGTCGTCTGTCCTTTGACCCTCCTGCATCAGCAAGGAAAAACTCTTTTGTTTACTATATTGGCATTTCCATAAATACATCTCCTTTTTGCATTTCTAAACAGTCAAACGATGAAGTTGACAGGTTTGGAAGGCAAATCGTTTTTGGGGGTGAGGGTGAAGGTGGGGGTTGGGGGGTAGATAGCGATGCAGCGAGCCAGAATGTCAGCAGCACCCATGGGAAAGCTTATTAAAGTCAATTTGGTCGCCAATTGGGAGCCTTCCTGAACACGCATTGGCAACATCAATACAAGACGCCTTCTCATGGATTCCTGATACTCCCCGTGCTCCCGACATGAGCAAATAACGACAAGTGTGCCCAGCATTAATTTGGCCCCGGGATCGTGAATTCTCGCCTTATCGTCGATCTCTCCTCGATCTGCCAAATGCGGCTTGAAAAATACAGATCTGATAGAGGCGCGTGTGAACGTCTGGGTGTTGCCAAGAAAAAGCTGTGTAGCCGATTATATCATATATGCGAACGAGAAAGTATTTTGAAATTACAATACAAATGTGTCAGGCTTCTTTGATAACTGCTGTGCACGAGAGTAAGGGCAAAACATGAGAATATACATGTAATTAGTCGTCTCCTGGTGTGAGTATCTTTTGAATTATACACAAGGACAAGGACAAACTTTTCTTTTCCATCTGACCAGAGCTGTCACAAAAGGCTTCTGATGAGAGCAAAACAGATACAATATTTACAACAACTCAAGGCCTCAAACTGTTTATTGGAAGTGCATTTAAAAGGCACAGAACAAAGAACATGGCAACGTTTTGAAGTAACCGATGCCACGTCCAAAGGTGTTGTAGCCAGAGGATGGTTTGCAGACCTGGGCCCCACAGGACAAAGACACTAGTTTGTACATATGCATAGTTTGGAGCTATACCGGCTCATGAAAGGGCTATGCTGTTGCTGTGTCCGAAGGCTGTGTCTGTTTTAATGTACGCTGGTCTATCCTCCAGGATCAGAGTTGTGTGTGTTTGTGTGTGTGTGTATTTATTTAGCGTATTTTTACAGACCAAGGTCACCCAAAGCGCTTTACAATGTTCAGGTTTCAGATCATAGACTTCATTTTATTTCATACCAGCACTTTTCTTCTGGCGGTGGAGGGAGCTAGAAACAGATTTAAATGATAGACGGACGTAGTCACGCCTATCTCCGCCGTTCTAACTAATGGGCCAAAAATTGGGCTTTCATGGAGTGATTCAAAATGGCCGCAGGGGATGGAAAATGTGAAAAAACGCATCTACGCATGCGTCAGCCGAGCCCCATTCATTTAAACGAGTGACTTCAAAAATTCACAGCGAGTAAACTAGAGTGGTCCAACAAAATTCACCCCCCTCAGCATTGACACACATGTGGAACGGAGCTTTGGGCCAAGAGCCAACTTTTGGACCATCCTGTAAAGACGTTTTTGAGAGGTAAGAAGATGCTATATGTTAGCATTGGCTCATTCTTATTCCGGGTCCACCCCCATCGGCCCGGGGTGGTATTGCAAGCATGTCAGCGCACGTGATTTTGGCCACTTTTGAGCCGGGGCCCGCCCCCACTGGTTCAGATATTGTTTCTTTCTCTCCACACAGTGAAGACGGACGAGAGACGCCGAAAACACTGGAGCAAAGCCCGAAATCAACACCATCCATTCACTCTCCCATTTCACTCAGACCTATTGTACATGTTTTTAGTGGTAGGGGAAACCGGAGCACCCAGAAGAAACCCACACAGACACGGGGAGAACATGCAAACTCCGCTCAGAAAGGCCCTGTTCTGACCTGCATTCAAACTCGGGACCTTCTTGTATGTATGCATGGTGAAAGTTAGTACTAAAACCTTATGAAGTATCCTCAAAACTCACATGTTTAGACCTAGCGTATCGAACTTAGAACTAGCCTGTTCACTAACACCATAACTACACCATCCTCTGTTTTTATCTTTGTATTTAAGCTGTTTTTAAATGAACTTTTAATTGTATGTAAAGGCGACCTTCTGTGTCAATAAAGACGTCCAAGAAATCAAACAAATTATTATTATTGTTATTGTCTTATGTACCACAACTGACTTTCTCAAGGCTTCTTCCTACTGGGGGAAACTATTGTATGTTGAGAACAAAGAGATAGAAATGTCAGGCTGGTATTGAAAGCCCGCAGGCGCTCTCGTCTTTAAAGAGTCAAAGGTGCGTTTGATTTCATTGCAGTGGCATGACTTCTGCACGCACGGGTGCTACAGCTGACAACACGCCTCCAACTCTCACTGACATATAGAAGATCAGTAGTTTCAAGACCACACTCTTTAAGTCCAGGTCCCAGAGCACAATCATGTGGATACCAGATAGATAGACAGATAGATATGTTATTTGTCACATATACAATGTTAAAGACCTTATTACGGGTTTAAAAAAAAAAATTGTGGATATCAAAATTGCATGACAATGTCGATCTGAAATAGATTCCGGCAAAAAAAAAATCATATATTTTATAAAAAGAACGTGTTTTTCATGAATTTAAGCTGTCTATGCTCTAACCTGTGTGTGACGTCATAGCGGGTAACGCCCATGCATTGAAAACCATGGATCTATGCCACAGGACTGCCTTTTCTCTCTTCTCTTCACTGTTGCCCAACACAATACTGCACTCTACAGGCGACAATTGCTCACTACACATAAATTGCTGTTTTGAGAGTGAAAAAGCGTCTGAGGTGGGATTTGAACCCCAGTATCTGGATTGGCAGTGCATCGACACAACCACTGGACTATCTCAGTGCCAACAAAATGCTTACAGTCTAGTACAGGGGTCGGCAACCCGCGGCTCTTGAGTGCTGCTGGAGTGGCTCCTGGAGCCTTTTCAAAAATGTCTGAAAATGGAGTGTGAGGGCTATATTTTATTTCTAGTTTGAATGTGGTTTCTGTAGGAGGAAAAACAATCTTTACGTTTTTAAATGCTGTAAAAATATGTATAAGTAATATCTAATTTCAACATTTCTGTCAACGTAGTGCGTCATATCCTATGACGCGCGGTCACGCGGCCCCGCCCCATGCGGCCGCTGCTGTAAACAAACCGGCGTGTGTGCATGATAGACTGTAAGTGCACATGGATCCCAAAGCTAAAGAGTCGATAACAAGACTGGACTAAGAATGAGAATGAACATTTTCTTTCAGTCAATGAGGAAGGACTGCTTCATGTTTGTAATGAAAAGTTTTGTTGCAACACGAGGAACAATGACGCGCAAAACGACGTAAACGGTGATTACGTGAAGGATTCATTCATCAAAAATTCAGAGCACCTATTTTCAGACTTCAAAACCTTCTCAAAGACGGTGAAAGAAACGGCCATTAAGGATTTTAATTCAGCTCCAGCAAACTTCAGCCTGTGACGTGATGGATATGAGCAGACAGTGATGCAGGTGTGTGACCTCTGAGCCCAAAGCAGATTGATTTACTGTATTTCTACAATTGCATGAAGGCAAAAAAAATGGAAGTTAAACTAAAGCAGAGTTGTCACATGTTGCGTCATTCACGACACGCTGCAGTGAAAATACACATTTGATAATCATGAATGATTATTATGTATTTGTAGCCTTTACTTTGTCATTTAGATATTAGGTTAATATAGCTAATACATCTTGCGTCCTGTGTTACCTTCATAAAAGCCTTATACAAGGTTGTTATTTTTTTGCGGCTCCAGACAGATGTTGTTTTTAGTTTTTTTGTCAATTATGGCTCTTTGAACATTTTGGGTTCCCGACCCCTGGTCTAGTAGTAGTACACGGCCTTGTCATCTTATATATCCGCGAAAAAAGAACGAATACCAAATTGTAAACAACTTACAGCGTTGAAACGTACCCACTCTGACGTCACCAAGGGCTGTGAAGTTTTTTCGTCTCTAAGGGCGTTGCTATGAGGTTATTTCGATTTGGGGGGATCAAACAAAAAAAACAACAACTGATTTTGAAACCTTTAGTAGTTCTCTTCTAATATAAATGGTATTAAAACTGCATTTCCGGCATAAGGTCTTTAACAACACCGCCTATAACATGCAGTGAAATTACTACTCAATACATCTGTCTGTAGTTTGATTTATGAAGTAGGTAAGTCATATTTTTATAGCGCATTTTACAGACCAGGTCACCCAAAGCGCTTTACAATATTCAGAAATCAGATATTTTTCCACATACGGCACAGTGGCTGAGTGGATTGCCTCTTTTGCCTTATTAGCAGAACCTTCTCTACCGTAAACATAAAAAAGACATAACTAACTTTTTACCTTTTGTACAATTTCTCCCCAGTCTCGTCACATGGATATTTGTGTCTCATATGTATTTGACTTCAGAAATGCAATATTTGAGAGAGATTGGGAGAACTGACCGGAAGTATCCCAGGATGAGGACGGCCACCATGAGTGATCCCAGAGAGATGGAGTAGCCCACGGTGTAGATGAGGTACAGCCGGTGGAAGACCTCCTGGGAACCGGAGCAAAACAGAAAGACGTCAAACACAAGAAAACCCAGAGATTGAAGGTGCTTAAGGTTCACTGTGTATTATTTCTGATGGTGTTGCGTTGATGGCTTGGATTATATAAAGTCTCGCTCTTCGCCTTCGTGTCAAGGAAAATTATTGTGTAGTTTTGGTAGTTTTGAGTTTCAATACATGTTCAATACTCAAGGGTCATTGGTAATTGATTGAACTGAATTGGAGATTTCCCATAGTATTACATCAGAATCAGAATCATTTGTTTTGCCATGTAAGTAACATGAAGTCACATACTAGGAAATTGCTTTGGTTCTCAGTGCAAACAAGTCAAAGGTAGAGAAGCACGGCACGGTGGCTGAGTGGATAGCACTCTCGCCTCTCAGCAAGAAGGTCCTGGGTTCAAATCCCGGTTGGACCAGGGCCTTTCTGAGTGGAGTTTGCATGTGTCTGCGTAGGTTTCCTCCGGGTGCTCCAGTTGAATAGTATATATAATAATAATATAATATAATATATATATATATATATATATATATATATATATAATAATGATAAATCTATATTTGTATCACACTTTTCAAAAACAGTGTTCATGAAGCGCGGCACAGGCAGTTTAAAGTAATATAAACAAACCAATACGAACAATACACCTTCATAACACAGGAGATTAAATCAGACAGACAACAAGAGAGCCAAATCAAAGAATAATACATGTAGACTCTTAAATTAAAAAGTGGGTTTTAAGAAGTGATTTAAAAGAGGATACTGAAGGGGTTGGCCTTATCTCCTCAAGCAGGTCGTTTCAAAGCAGAGGCTCGCGGACAAAGAAGGCTCAGGCCCTTTCGTCCGGAGCCTCAACCTTGAAACGACCAACAGGGACCTGCTCGAGGATCTATTTCTCTGTCTGTTTAGTGCCATTAGAGCCATAACAAAAATACCACCACATTGCGACATATTCCCCACACACGCGACATGTGTCTTACAAATACATCTGAGCATTTGAATGGATGAATGTCTTAAGGTTTTGATTACTGTTGTAAATACATGTATGACTTTTGTATCAATATTATGAAGCGAAGGAGTTGAAAACTAGCATCGGTAGCAAGTTGCATGTTGCATCAGTAGCATGAATAAAAAGCAGCAACATGTTCTTCTTCAGGTGACACTTGAACACAGATGACAGTGAGTTTGTTGTAAATACTCCCTGACCTCCAGTCCCAGCGGATGTTGTGACCTTGTAAAGACTAAAGCAGGATAAATAAAACATTTCCTTCTTGGTGACATTTTCTCCACCGCAGGATAGACTCACTCACAGGTGTGATTTGACATATTCAGTACTTTAACTTGGACAATTTAAAAGTTGAAAAGCTTTTTAATTTGCTTCATTTCATGCTGATTTTGAATAGAATGATTGATTTTAAGAACCATGTCAAGTTAAAGAAACACATTCTTTGCTTTAAGTTGGCCATTTTTGAACATGAGAGAGAGAGAGAGAGAGAGAGAGAGAGAGAGAGAGAGAGAGAGAGAGAGAGAGAGAGAGAGCAATTAGATTCAAGAGTTTTATGATATTTACCACAATGTAACACATTCCTAAATTGGCAGAGCTGCAGTTGGCTGGATGACTCATAGTCTCTAGAGACATCATACCCCATTATCCACTATGCTGATTTTGAAGAGAAAGCTACATATAGAAACCAGAGAGAGGGAGAAAGATAGAGAGACTGAGAGAGACAGTGAGAGAGACATAGAAAAAGACTGTCAGAGGGGGGGTCTATAAAATACAGAGATTGCATTACAAAAAGATTGGATTCAAGAGTTTCTGACAACGATGTAACACATTCCTAAACTGGCAGAGATGAAGTTGGCTGGATTTTGATCTCACTGGCTGTAGATGATGTCTCCATTTCATATTGCCATGTCTCAATATAGTCCAAAGAGACATCATACCCCATTATCCACAACAACCACAGCTGCTACAACCCCAGTCTGTTCTGTCTGTGCACGTCATCGTTCCTACCACCATAAGTCACGCACCGGCTCTTTTTGAATCTCCTCTTTGCCGTCACATGACAGATTTACCCAGCGGTCGAGAAAATCACACACAGGGCTAGAATGTGACAGGGAAGCTGCTTGGGTGGGGCCTGCCTTTTGATTTTTCCAACCAACCATTTGGCAGACAACACTAACCACCAAGTCACTTTTTCATTCTATGTCTGCGTGTGTGAAGGATGAAACCCAAAACTTTTCGTATGGTAACGCTTAGCACCAGCGCCGCGACACTGCAGTCTGGGGGTCTCGGTTGTGGTGTGGGTGACTGGGGGGTGGGCAGGGGGGTTCCTTAAGCCCATATGTATTTGTCGTTAGCTGGATGTACGGCACTGCTCTCTGGGGATTCCAATATGGTTAACATCTGAGAGAACCACATCCTTCAAGTATATAAGGTGCAGATGGGAGTTAAAATTTGAAAATGAATCATCTTAAAGGGGACATAACCCATTTTTTTTTTTACTGTATATGATACTACCACCAATAAGATTTTGTGGGATAGAATTTTTGGACCAATGGAAAGGAGCCATGTTTAATGATATTGATAATGATGCATCGGTTTTACATGGTGCTTTTTTGGACACACAAAGACGCCTCACTTGTCATTATTCTTACTCTTAAAGGGTGTTGATTAAAAATGTGAGGGTTTAGGTTAATTCCCTGTTTTATTTTGTAATTTGTCAACCACTGTGTCTTATTTAGTTGCACTTCCTGTTTACTTGTCCCGCCCTCATGTGTGTCTCGTTAGTCCTGTATTTTAGCCCCGTTTTCGCTGGATTGGGGTTTGTATTACTTTTCCATAAATCCCTTTTTTTGAAGTTTTGCATTTGGGTTCTCCTTGTATACTACTACTGTAGCCACAGCTGACCTGGGACACACTGACAGAAGTGAGGCAACCAGTATGTGCCATTGAACCCTCTGACCATCAACAACCATCCCAACCAGTCTTCCATAAAAAAAATGAAAGAATAAGAAAAATACCAAGCCATAGAAGATTTCAACTCATTTCAATTGCATTTTGTATTCAAGATTTCCAATACATTCAAATGTGCATATTCTGTTCCATGCAAAGTCTAGAGATAGACAGACATTACCGAAATAAAATATTAAGACGACGGAGAATATTAAATTTAACAGAGTAAGAAAAACTGTGAAAATGTGCATATATGTAGGTAGAGCAGTGATTCGATGATGTAAGATAATTCATACGTAGGTGTTAGAATCTCTGGCTTCTTTGTCCAAACCTGCCATGGATCAGGTTGACATTATAATGAGATGGTTTGACTTAATCTTTCTCACATGCTGCACCGTAGTGACAAAAAAACCGGTGGTCTCTCCCAGAAGTTAATTTATTAGCGCTTTTGTATCCGGGCCTTGTAATCATCCCACCCCCACTCTCTCTCTCTCTCTCTCTCTCTCTCTCTCTCTCTCTCTCTCTCATCTCTCTCTCTCTCTCTCTCTCAATTTTAAACTACACTCATAAAATGTTACCTCAAAAGGATGCAGCGTTCACTGTGGCATTAGAAATCTCCATTGAATGCCGCCCCAGCTCCTCTAATGCCAGATTTACGACATAATAACTCAAACCGCCGGGCCTGACAGAAGATTGGAGAATGAGGAAATTAGAGGATGACAAAGACTTTACTTTAGAGAAACTTTGCAGCGAACAAAAGCTTGACAAGTTTTCCTGGAAGTGACATGTTAGATGTTAGAAAAAAATAAGATTAATTGTTTTTCACCAACTTCATGTGTGGTCTGCATTGTTTTAGACTAATATGTTCATTTCAACTTTTTCTCACTCAATAGCATGCAGCAGAATGATATTTCTTCTTTAAGATTAAGAGATTGGTCCCACAGTGGGGAAATCTCAGTGTTGCATCAGCAGAACATGCATTCATAATAATAACAATGCATTGGTTTTATACAGCAAAGCTTCTTCACATGTCATTCTTCTTTGACTCCAAACTCGGTGGTGATAAACTACTACTGTAGCCACAGCTGCCCTGGGGCACACTGACAGAAGCGAGGCAACCAGTATGTGCCATCGGCCCCTCCCACCACCACCAACCATTCACACACACACCAGACCAGGCACTTTACAGCCACAGCCCAACAGTACAAGATCAATGAACAAAAACTCTATGCTGAAACAAAATATCATCTCTAACTTTAGTATATTAAAAAAAGCAAGTAGAAAACCCCTAGCTTCAGCCTAATGAGGAAGTATGTCTATAAGGAAGCAAGCCTGAAATCTCCTTTGGTACCATAAAGAAACAAGAATTATGTAGAAAATCCCTGACTTTATCATAATAAAGAAGCAATTAGTTGATATATAGTTGATCTCGTAGAGGAAGAGGGATGTAACATACACAACCAGGATGTAGAATGGTTAATGAAATGGCCTTTCATAAATGAGGCAAAAGGGGGTAACAGATAGCACTGGACCACTTCAGAGTAAAAACAAAAACACAGGATTCTCAATTCCACTAAATCAAAACACAAACACAGAGCCACACAGGAAATCTTAATGAAAGAACTTTTATCTGACGAGCACATGTCACCAGAATGATTGACAGTTGGGAAACCAAACCCTCCGCACAGAGATATTATTGCCTTGATTGATCCTCTGTGCGATTCTTGCGGCTCTGTTGCTTTAAAAGATGAGACAGAAGCGTGTTTTTGCTTTGATTTTTTAAAGAATAAAAAAGAGCGTCTGATTTTTTTGTTTCGTGTCTAAAGTATTCCAAATCAACATCATTCATTTATGACAGATCATTAATATTATGCAGATTTCTCAAAACCCATATTATTTGCTGCTATGACTTATTTTGAACAACACTTTTTGTACACTTTAAACACAAACAGACACACACACAGACATGTCAAAGTAAGTCATAGCAGCGACTAATACGGGTTTTGCGATATCTGCTGCATAATATTAATGTTCTGTCATAAATGAATGATGTTGTTTTGGAATACTTTAGACAAGAAACAAAAAAACCAGACGCTCTTTTTTATTCTTTAAAAAATCAAAGCAAAAACACGCTTCTGTCTCATCTTTTAAAGCAACAGAGCCGAAAGAATCGCACAGAGGATCAATCAAGGCAATAATATCTCTGTGGAGACGAGCGGAGGGTTTGGTTTCCCAACTGTCAATCATTCTGGTGACATGTGCTCGTCAGATAAAAGTTCTTTCATTAAGATTTCCTGTGTGGCTCTGTGTTTGTGTTTTGATTTAGTGGAATTGAGAATCCTGTGTTTTTGTTTTTACACACAACACATGGGAACAGATTTGCCTTAACTCACACAAACCTTTAAACTTCAGCAGCCGTGACAGATTTGACAAGAATATACTTTTTTCTTATCTTGTAATATGTAGCAGTATGAACTCATTTTTGGATTGATTTAATTTCCGATATACTGTATTGGAAAAAGTAATCTTTCTATAAAAACGGCTCAGGGTTGTTCCAATTTATTCATAAAGTCAACAAACCCTTGAGATTGGGAAACAGATTTTTTGCACACATGGAAGCCGACTTCATAACTCCGCAAACAACATTTTTCTTCTCATATTTGTCTTTCATGATCGCAGTAAGTGCATCCAAACCAAGGCCGCCCACTGGCTGTTTAGTAAACACGTGGCTTGCGTAACACACTCCCTCAGCCAACGTACCTGGACCCCTGTTTTGTTTCCTGTCACATCTATTAAAACACAAATCTGTTCCTCGCTTGGAGAAGTAAAAATGTTGAAATTGAGTTCTGCAGAAAAAAATGGGAGGATAAACGATGTTGGCTCCGGTTGTCGTTCTACGCATTTCTAAATCACACTATAGATGTCAATGGGTTTTACTGTTATTCTGCTCCCTCTTTAATCTTATCTCTAAATTACTTATATCAGCCTCGAGGAGCTGATCTTATTGACCTCAGGATATCAGACATTTTCAAACAGTGGCGGCTGTAGATTGTTGGAATTGTTTGAATGCATCGGAGCAGGGGTGGTAAACTCATTCTTGTAGAGGGATAAATCTAAAAAGGTAAGAGCTGTTTGGGGCCAAAAGTATGAAAGTGGTTTTCTTTCATTATCATAATTTCTTTTAACATTTTTTTGTATTTTGATTTGTTTTATTTGACATGAGTTTAGGGCGTCAGTGGCTCAGTTGGTAGTTTGGGCCTGAAGGTCGAGGGCAGAGGGGGCGATCATGGTACTGCAGACTAAATTCACGCGGGCTACCCAGAAAAAAGTCCCATAGAACTAAATGTAAATCAAAACACCTCGACCTCAGCTGACAGAGAACCTACAGCTTTCAGAAAGATCGTATTTTGTGGGGATTTTAGTGTCCCTTGTCATCCTGAACTTTTTGTCTTCTTAAATCCTTCGCTTTTCTTTAAATCCACACTTTACTGCCACAAACTCCTCTGCTCTGATCAACAGCTCTGATCAGCAGTTCTGATTGGTCAAAGCGTGGCCGAGCCCTTCTGTGCACGTGCATGAGAGCCACACACGCGTATTTGGCGCAAAGCATCATGGGAACTCGTCCACTGCACAGAACCGGGAGGAGCAGACGATGCCCAACCCCACTTTGCCTGAAGCCCCCGCTGAAAGATCAAGGCAGCTCAGACTGGAGCAGCAGGATCAGTGAGGGGCTGGTGCTCTGTGAACTGGGTCTGAATGACTGCCAGACTCCCAGAAATGGATTAAGGGGAAGAAGTATAAATATAAATATATTTGGCCTAATAGTATTCCATTACCATCAATGCTGCAAGTTACTGAACTGTCACCACTGTGGGATGAATAAAGGATCTCATCTGTTTCTGTAATGATACTAATTAACAATTGTTTCAGGGCCCACGAACAATGGTCTTGCGGTCCACCACGCATTGAGATTGACATGCCTGCATTAGAGATACCAGCATTCATTCCGGTAATTGAAAAAGTAATGAGAGCAGTTACTTTGTCATTCCATGTTTGAAAATGTTTTTTATCACACAGTTTCAGCTTCTACACTTATTCAATCAGCCCATTTGACAGAACTGAAGTTAGCTAAATGACAAGTCTCTATTCTCTCACTTGCTACATTAGCGCCATAATCGAAATTGTGCACCACGATCGACTGTCAACATACATTCATAAACTGTCAGAGCTGAAGTTGGCTGGAACATGACATTATGAACAAATCTCAATGGCTGCTTTGGGTTTGAGGGCCACATATACATCAACACCAGGGGGCCAGACTTTAAACAACTGCAACGTACGACGACATTCGAACGCATCATTGAGATCAAATACAGGGTGAGCTGCTTTTAAGTGGAAAATTCTCCTGACGTGCGCCGCCGATACTGATGTTAGTGAGCGCTTTCATCTTTAAAACACTTCTCTGAACCTCCAACTCTCATCTTTGCGTTTTAGACGTCTCTGTAAACCGGCGCCACACCAGCGGAAACGGCGCGGATATTCAAGGCCCGGTTCTACGATGAGGGAAATATTAGATTTGATGGAATGATAAAAACATAATTGAATAGTAAGCAGTAGTAAGTAAGTTTTTATTTATATACCGCCTTTTCACTGCAGATCTGAGTCTCAATTGTTAATTTTGGGCATTTGTCTCTCACTCCACACAGAGATGGGAGCGGGGTCGCCAGTACAGGAGGCGCATGCCAGAACTATTGGACATTTTTTTAGTGGTAGGGGAAACCGGAGTAGCCGGAGGAAACCTACGCAGACACGGGGAGAACATGCAAACTCCACTCAGAAAGGCCCTGGTCCGACCGGGATTCGAACCCAGGACCTTCTTGCTGAGAGGCAAGAGTGCTATCCACTCAGCCACCGTGCCGCCCGTATAGCGCTTTTCAACAACATTGTTTACAAAGCGCTGCACGGTCGGCGTAAAGCCACCAAAAAACAGTCAATAAAAGCCTTTCTGAGGAGAGTTTTTGTTTTGAATAAAATAAAAGCCAGAATGTGATAATGTTCATGTATTTGTACCTTGTTGTGACTCTGGTTGTGGAGGAACTTTGCGCACTCGCTGTAATTGGCCCAGGTTTTGTTATTGGCTGATGACATCTCCCACGTCCCGTTGCTGTCGCACCGTCGATACGCTTGTCCTGAAAAGTCAGAAAAAAAACAACTTATGAAATCAAAACAAAATGAACTGACTGAGCACTGACAAAGAGACTTGTTTAATAATAATAAATAATGCAGCAGTACTTTTTTGGACGCTCAAAGATGATTCACATGTTATTATTCTTTCACTCAGAACACAGTGGTGATAAACTATTATTGTAGCCACAGCTGCCCTGAGGCACACTGACAGAAGCGAGGCAACCTGTATGTGTCATTGGCCCCTCTGACCACCCCCCAACCATTCACACACACCAGACTCATTCCAGGATATGTGGGTTAAGTGTCTTGCCAAAGGACAAAACTGCAGTTTGGCACTTTACAGCCACAGTCGCCCCGCTGTGGCACCTGATGTTCCCTCAGGTCTCTCCCATCTCTGTACTAACCAGGCCCTGCCCTGCTTAGCTTCAGAGTTGTGACAGGATTTGGCTTGTACATGTATGTATGGCTACAAACATATTTTGTAACACCCTGAAGCCAAACTAACTTTTGACAAATAAAATAGGCAAAAAATATAGAAACATTGCCAGGACCTCAAGGCAGAGGTGATGGGAGACCTCTGGGAACAACCTGTGGGGGCGGGTCCCAACTCAAAAGTGGCCAAAATGACGTGCGCTGACATGCTTGCAATACCACCCCGGGCCGATGGGGGTGGATCCAGAAGAAGAATTAGCCAATGCTAACATATAGCGTTGGCAGACCTCTCAAAAACGTCTTTACAGGATGGTCCAAAAGTTGGCTCTTGGCCCAAAGCTCCGTTCCACATGTGTGTCAATGCTGAGGGGGGTGGATTTTTTTGGTCCACTCTAGTTTACTCGCGGTGAATTTTTGAAGTCTCTCGTTCAAATGAATGGAGCTGCGCCGGCTGACGCATGCGCAGATGCGTTTTTTCACAATTTTCTTGTGGGCGGGACCACTCGCGGCCATCTTGGATTGCTCCATGAAAGCACTCTTTATGGCCAACTCCTATGAACGGCGGAGATAGGCGTGACTCTGTCCGTTAATATATACAGTCTATGGGAACAACAGATGCCACAGTGGGTGGTTGTAAAGTAACTACTGTCTGTTTGGGCAAGCAAAATATTTTTGTTTGCATTTATCTTTTTATCTTAATCTGGTTTCCACTTTATATATTCAGTTGACCAAGCCTTCAACATTACATTACAATATTTAGGCTCCTGTGTATATTTACATTCATATGTCTGTGGAATCGTACCTGCATATCTTCTGTATTACTGCCAAAACATTATTATCTCAAGAACTGAACGTATTTGTTCTGACCTACACTGCTAACCAATCTATATCTGAAGCATGCATCATTAAAGGTCCCATATAACACTTTTTGACTTTTCTCTGGTTTAAACATTATTGCTCGGTTCAAAGTAGTAGCCTTTTTAGTATACTTCTATGCAAGAAATGGCTATAATTTCTAAGTTATGAGTGTTTTGTGATGTATCACTTAAATTATTGTCACACATGGACTGTGAAAAATTAGGAAAAACCAAAATATAGGACCTTTAATATCTCAAGTGATGACATCTCTGTTCTTATGCACATTGATACAAATCATAAAGAGCTCAATCCTCTTTTGTTCGATCTGGAAGGACTCAAAAATAAACCGGGTTACAGGTGCGACCGCTGCTGCCTCTGTCTTCATTTCTCGACATGTCCTAATGAAAACACACGGGAGTTTTGTGGCGGCCGTCTCTGTCTGCTTGAAAAGTGCCAGATCCTTTTATGCTCTCACCTTTGTGGTTGAAGTCGTAGATGTACTCGGGACACGGTGTGGAGACCAGGCGTCCCGGAGAACCCTCAGGCCAGCACACGATACCGTCCCACTCCGCCGAACAGAACACATCTGCACAAACAGGCAAAAATATATATGATGTACATTAAAAGCACTGAGTCTGTGTCGTATCAGGGATGAAAACGCATGTTGTAGAACTAGGACGATGCATTATATGTGGTTAGTGAATGTTCAGGTAAGATGCAATGAAAAAGAGATATTGTGGTTTGTTCATACTAAAAAGTACAAAAGAATGACGGAAGGCCAAAAATATATATTATGTTTTTTATTTATCCAAATACCTGTTTTTTTCCATTAGTAGTTGCATAACTGTTTTATACATTAGTTAAATTGTCTGTTTATCTGTGTTGCGGACACGTTTTTTTTTTTTTTTCAAATCATTGATAGTAATTTTAGTTTTTGAGTAATAACTTTTGAAAATAACTTTGTTTAAAGCCTTCTGCACACCGCTCTATACTGTCCACTTGTGGTGCAGATACAGTACGAGTACGTTTAAGAAGCTGCAGGTTGCAAACATTGATGCACTTTGAATTTTACTGAAAGTCCCTCGTTGGACTGGTGCCATCTCACTGTTCTCATTATCTTATGAGAAAACATTTTGAATCATTAGAAAGAGCCGAGTAAGTCACTGATTGAGTCTCTGGGCTGAGAGCTGATTGGCTGAGGGAAGGTGGTCCTCTCTTTTCCAGTCATGTTTTCACTAGAGGTAGAAACACACTGTTTTTAGATCAAGGAACTAGTTATCAATTTAATTAAACTTTTTTTCTTGTTTCTCGAGCATCTGCAAGTGTTTTTCTTGTGTGTATAATATCAATAATTTTGTATTAAATAAATGTATAACTCAGGAAATGTATGCACAATTTGGCTATTCTACTTTTGTTAAGATAAACCTTTATTAGTCTCACAGTGGAGAAATTTCAGTGTCATCGTTGCACATTACAGCAGAGAAAGGAAATAAGAGCACTCAGATTGCACACATCAAAGTCTATTATTTAAGATAATGGGCAATACATTTAAGATAAAATAAAATAAAATAAAATAAGAAAATCTGGGCTACAATTGCACTTGGTTCGGAGTATTTACAGATGTCTATATTATACATTAGCAGCGGAGAATATGAGAATATGAGCAGAATAAACATCAGAAATAATATCAACAGGTAAAGTGACTTGAATGGGAGAATTATCAGATGGATATGAATAATACAGTAAGATATCAACAGGTAAAGTGACGGTGAAAGGCAGAATTATCATATATTAAATAATATAGTAGTACTGATAACAGTAAATATCAGATATGTAATACTGTAGTAGTACTGGTAACAGGTAAAGTGACTAGTGACAAAGTTACTAGTGAATTATCAGTTGTTCACTTATTTACTAGAAATAAACTTTATTATTATTCACTTATTTACTAGAAATAAACTTTATTAATATTATTATCATTATCATTATTATCTATTTTCCGTGGTTTGGTAAGTTTAGGTAACCCTGCTTTAAGTGCCATCGGTCATATATTTAGTTATGATGGGACAGTGCACATTAATAAGCATGAGTCCTTAGAGTCCACATGTAAGTATGCCAGAGTTACCCACATGGCTAACTCATGTGCAGGTGGATGTTTACAGACAGGACAGATCTAAACAATAAAATATATAAATGCCTTTGTAGTGTGAATAAAAAACAGAAAAGGCAGACGTGACCTGCTATAACTCGTCCGGTCACGTTTCAGGTCTTTTCTGTTTTCTTGGACGCTAATAACTTGTACAAACTGATGAACCGTGAAATGAAGAAGCCAAATAATAAGCTAGCTTGGATACAAAATGTGTGGTTATCCTTTACAAAAGCAAAGCAAAAAAAAAAAAACTTGTCTGCCCGCGAGCATCGGCACAGAAACAAGGTCGCTTCACCACTTAATTAACTCAGAGGCGACGTTCATTCCTTATGCAACACATCCACTCATAAGAACGTAAATATCATAATCTTTCAATCACAGCAGGTAACGGGCTGTTAAAGGATTTGCTGTGAAATCCCCACGCACACGACTTTGCTAATTGATTCTAATTAAACGAAAACAAACAAACCCAGCAGAGTGGATCATTACGCCTGAGATCATATCAAGCCCTTGGATAATATTGCCCATTAAGGCTTTTTTCTGGTATTTCTTTGTTTAGCATTAGCAGAAGCTTATGTAATATGCAACGATCATGCTCTACATAGAAGAGTTCATTATTCTGCTAAAGTCAATACATCATTTGTTTTTTACCACGTTCCAACACATGAAATACGACTAGCTTAAAACACTGCAAAAAATCTCAAATTTGGCAAAATGTATCTTAAAGGTATAGGTATAGAGGAGGATGTTCTACTTCCGGGTGGATCATCAAGACTATTGGTCCTCCCAAGTGTCAATCATTCTGGTGAAATAAGAACAGAGAGGGCGATACTTTCCTAAAATTTGGAGAAATTCTTCTATATATCTTTAAATTTGAACACATTATGACTTCCTTAAATAAATGGGAAAAGCAAAATGATCTCTTTAAAAAAAAATCCAAGAAATTTCTCTCTTGGAATGGGAAAATAAAGTAATTGTTTTTGTTCCATTATTGGATTGGATTAGAAATGGTCTCACGATTCCCACTTTGGATTATAATTGACATCAGTGAAGATGTTTAGTGTCACTATGTGTTAAATCCCGTTTTGAGGTAAATGTGTTAATTTCACCAAAAAATTTTTGTGTCATCATTTTAGTACTATACACCATTTTGAAACCAGTTCGTCCCCATCTTCGTACGCTGTGATCCTTTGGAAATTGGAAAGCGTTTAAACATAATGAATGATAAATGAGGCCAATCATAAAACTACAAATGAAAAGATCTGTATTGAATCTGAATATCTATTTCTGTCAGTGGTTAATGCAGGACCATTGACCTGCTCCCGACAGAGCTTTTCCAACGATTTTCTTCATGAATCACACTTGGTGGCGATGAGCAACTTGTGCATCACCATAGCTGCTGTGCGAACAAATACATCTGCCTCTAACTACCAACCCTCGAGCTATCCTCAAGGTCAAACACTCACATGAACACAGAATCCATTCTCAGTCTGTCCTCTCTTACTCACCATAACCTTTACAGATTCCAGTTAACATCTATGAGCTTATTCTCTTTCTTAAAGTGTAGTGTCTAAAGCAGAGTTGGAAATTCTCATCCATACATTTGCCTCAAGGAAGTCAGACAACTGTAACGGCCTGCTCACTGGGCTCTCTGTGTCACATTAGTCCTGGTCTCAGGTCTCTGACCTTGAGTCCTCTCACATTAGTCCTGGTCTCAGGTCTCTGACCTTGAGTCCTCTCACATTAGTCCTGGTCTCAGGTCTATGTCCCAAAGTTCTCTCACATTAGTCCTGGTCTCAGGTCTCTGACCTTGAGTCCTCTCACATTAGTCCTGGTCTCAGGTCTCTGACCTTGAGTCCTCTCACATTAGTCCTGGTCTCAGGTCTCTGACCTTGAGTCCTCTCACATTAGTCCTGGTCTCAGGTCTCTGTCCTGAAGTCCTCTCACATCAGTCCTGGTCTCAGATGTCTTCACTGGCTTCCTGAGTCAGATAATAGACTTTACCTTCACTATCAGTCGTCACGTAAAGAATGGGGCGATGGCCAAACATTATAGTGGAAAACAATCTTCCTGCAGGCTTCCACTTTGCACTGATCGCTTTAATCCTAAACCATTTTCTTCTACATTGGGTGATAGTGTTATGGCCTAATGTAACAGCCCCATGATGGAGTGTCCCGATGGACTCTCCTGAAGCTGTTATTAAAGCCATTTCAACAGTTCATTGAACACAGAGCCAAGAATCTTCCACTTCCTTTTCTACAATTGTTTCCACTCAGATCAATAGAAAAATAATGACAAACCTTTGGAAGAATGAGCCAGACAAGTTCACAAACACATTCCACATCCATTTAGTGCATGACACCAACTCTGCAATGAATCAAAGAGTCAGAGGGGTTTTACTCCCTGGTGACACACATCAGTCTAAGCTTGAATAACTTATACAGTGGTTTCTATAACTTACAATTTACTATCGTATCAGTTCAGTGACAGGAGTCGAAGTTTGCAACAACAATAATAGTGTGCGTTAAATAGTTTTCACAACCTCCCATTGAATCTGTCATATGTGTCTGTAAAACCATGTTTAGACACTGCACAAAGGCCTAAAGGAACTACAGACATCAACTAACTTAAGTAATGAGTGAGTAATGTTTATATATATAGCACATTACATTTTATAGACCAAGGTCACCCAAAGCACAATGTTCAGAGTTCAAATATTGTTTTGTTCTCTCCACACACGATGATGACTGAAGTGAGACGCCGAAGACACTGGGACATCAAACCCCCAACCACTATCCATTCACTCACTCATTTACATTCATACCTATTGTACATGGTTTTAGTGGTAGGGGAAACCGGAGCACACGGAGGGAACCTACACAGACACAAGGAGAACAGCTCAAAAAGGCCCTGGACCCAGATTTGAACCCAGGACCCTCTTGCTGGCAAGGGAAAGTGCTATCCACTCAGCCACCTCTCACATATTACATTGTTTGACGCCTTTACATATAAATCCTACAGATATACATGTTAAGAAATATCGAGAGACGTGTTGGATTGTTCAGACAATTTGTGCTACTTAATCTACAGATCTACATTTTTCTTCTGTTTGTGCCAATGCAGATCTGGCCCTGCATTCGGCCTTGAGGGAAATGGCAGAAAAGCAGGTCCACAAACCTGCAGCACCGAGGCTGATCCCAGACATTTCAAATTGATTAATGAATTCCTCTCCTCCGTCTCTTGAGGTGCCCAAAACGAGAACATGTCAGGGAGAACGAGGACGTCTGGTCACCCTGCTTATGGCCATGTTTGGAGAACTGACCACCCTGTGGTGTGTTTCCTCAGAGTGGCTTAAACTTGGACAATGCTTGATGTATCAGCAAGGTCTGCTTGTCTCTACATACCTTAATTCAGATTTTTGTTTAATATATGTGTAC